TCAGTGCTGTGGTTTGGACGAAAGCCTGACTGAAACACATCCAAACAGTTATTTAAATGCAAGAAATTACTCAACTGTTGAAAAATAACTTTTTCAATGATTTTACCTAGAAATGGGAGTTTGATATGGGCCTTTAATTGTTCATTACTGAAGCATCTAGATTATTCTTTTTTAAGAGCGGTTTAATGACTGCAGTTTTCAGGGCCTGTAGAAAAATACCTGAGTGAAGAGATTTGTTTACTATATGAAGTAGGTCTGAGGCCATGCAAGGCAAAACATTTTTGAAAAATCCTGTTGGAATAATATCAAGGCAGCAGGAGGAGGATTTCAGAAGTTGAATAATGTCCTCTAGGTTTTTATCATTAATCTGATGGAATTGTGTCATGGTGTTTGAATTGATGTTAAGTGGACACAGGGACAACACATTTGCTGTACCTGATACAGAGGCACTGACTGCTTGTCTGATTTTCTGAATTTTGTCAGTGAAGAAGGAGGCAAAGTCATTGCACGCCCTGGTGGATAGAAATTCAGAGGCTACTGACACTGGGGGGTTAGTTAGTCTGTTGACGGTAGCAAACAAGGCACGTGCGTTGTTTTTGTTGTTGGTAATGATCTCAGAGAAGAAAGACTGTCGTGCGTTTTTCAATTCCAAATTATAAAGGCCAAGTCTCTCTTTATAGATTTCAATGTGAACCTGGAGATTTGTTTTTCGCGTTCAGCTTTTCGACACTCTCTTTTTTCTGTTCTCACGGTCATGGCCTTTCTCCATGGAGATATTTTCTTGCCAGACACTTATTTTACCTTAGTTGGAGCAATGGCATCTATAACATTTTTAATTTTTGAATTAAAATGATCTACTAGCTGTTAGCAGGGGCAAGTGTGGAAGAACAATTCTGAGTAAACATTTCCCTAGTATTTTCAGTTAAATATCACTTTGTGGTTACCTCCTTTTGAACATTTTTGTGAACAGAAATAGAGCTCTCAAAGAAAACACAGGAATGGTCAGAGAGTGCAACATCAGTCACCACAACCGTAGATATATTCAGACCCTTTGAGATAATTAAGTCCAGAGTGTGCCCCTTATTGTGCGTGGGCTCCGTCACATGCTGAGTCAGTCCATAGCTATCAAGAACACAAAACAGTTATTTTGCCCCTCTGTCCTGGGGGTTGTCAACATGGATGTTAAAATCACCAACAATGACTAGACGGTCAAAGTCAATACACACTATAGACAGCAGTTCGGTAAAATCATCAAAAAAGCTTGCACAGTATTTGGGTGGTCTATAGATATTTAGGAACAGAGCTCGAGAGGAGCATTTCAGCTGAAGGGCCACATATTCAAAAGAAGCAAAGTTCCCATAAGATGTCTTCCTGCATTGAAGGGAATCATTGAACAGAATAGCAACTCCACCCCCTTTCTTTGCATTCTTTCCTGACTCATAAAACTAAAGTTGGGAGGGGTTGATTCGATAAAAACAGCTGCACTGTTATTTTGTTCAATCCAAGTTTCTGTTAAAAACATAAAATCGAGATTGTGCTCAATGATAAAATCATTGATTAAAAATGTTTTTCCTGCCAAAGACCTGACATTTAATAAAGCTAGTTTAAGTTCGTTAAACACACTATCAGTCAGGTTTTTTGTAACAAGCTGTGGCTGACATGGAATCAATGCTAAATGTGATAAACTCACACAAACGTTTGAGCGCTTCCTGTATCTAAGATGATTCACTGCTCTTAATCTATTACCTATCAACACAGATATCGGCAAAGCTACAGGCAGGCAGGGCCCCGGCATGTCCTTGAAAGAGTTGAGAGTGCCATACGCCCTTGAGCCTGGACCCAGCAAATATCAGTTTGCAGCGTTTAGTACACACACATCCCTATCAGGCTTTGAAGGGGAGGGAGGACCCACCACCCTGCTCCTCTCATCATAGGAGGGCAGGGTGAGGGCTACACTGTAGAAAGGGGGGTTTGGAAATCTGCTTCTATCTTCCTTGTATTCTTTTGGTTTGGATGATTGTGGTAGGCATGGTGATGAAGCCGGGGGAGATGGCGCGCGTCTCTGCTTCGGTGATTTTGGTGGGCGTCGTTGAGGGACATGCTGCCAACCCTGCGTTTCGCCTTCATGCGGTCATCGAACTCCAGGGGGGTGGGCGAGGGTGAGAGGGTGAGCGGAGAGTAGAGAGAGCTGGGGGATGAATGAAGAGTATCCTCAAAGGCGTTGACAGGGGGCGTGACGGGCAGTGGAGACTCCTCCATGTGTCTCATAGGTCTCCCATAATCAGAACATTCCTCAGGCGGGTGCAATGATACTTCTTCAGGGTTTTCTGCGCGATGTGTTGTGTCATTCTCCTGTTTTGATTCCTCTTGTTGCTTGTCCTTGGCAGAGGGAACAGATTGACGACGCAGGCAGTTGAATATGTTAGAGATAAACAATTTCACTCCTGACTTGTTCAGGCACACTCCATTTGCCTTATAAAGATGTCTGCGGTCCCAGAAAAAGTTAAAGTTGTCAATAAAATGGACAGAATGGTCAGTACAGGCAGTTGAAAGCCAGGTGTTTAGTGCAAACAATCTGCTGAATCTCTCCACTCCTCTTCTGACTGGCGGTAGAGGGCCACTGATGAACACCTCCGCATTTAGAGAGCTGACAGTTTCCAACAGACATTTAAAGTCTTCTTTCAGCATTTCTGACTGTTGTTTCACAACATCATTTGTTCCAATGTGTAGTACCACATTCTTCACAGTCGGATGTTCAGCCCCAATATGCAGGATCTTCTCAGCCAAGTCAGAGACCATATCCTTGGGAAAACAGAGTACTTTGGTGTTGTTCTTACTACACAGACCTTTTACATCTCTTACAGCAGAATCACCCACAATCAGAGTTTCAGGCCGAGTCATTAGCTTTCCCTCTAGCCTTTTACTTTTGGAGTAGCTATTGGTCCTTACCCTGCTGTGTGAAGAGGACAGGTTATCCAGGTCATCAGAAAGAGATCTCCGGTTCTGGGTCAGTGGATCATATCTGTTCTGGATTGGCACACTTGGTGGTTTAGGAGGATTGTTTGTAATTCTCCCTTTAGCAGCTGTCCACGGCTGTTTCCTAGTAGGAACAGGGGTTGAAGAGGCGCTCTTCCTGTGTGATAACAATGCAGGCCAGCCGGTCGCATCACAGATTTCAGAGCGCTGGGCTCTGCCTGTTATTCGTCCTCCCAAATCCCATGAAAATGACTTACTCTTAGGCTTTGCACTCAGAGAGTTCCAGGGAGGACTACCACTTGTAGATTTATTACCCGGTACACAGCCCTCCTGTTCCTTGGAATCCTTGTAGCTGCTAACTAGCTGTGAGTTAGCATACCCTTTTCCATTATTTTGCAACACTGGTAAAGTGGTGTCATTCCCACGACATAGTCCAGGTGATATATACATATATACACCTTCTCCTGGCGAGACCTCAAATCATCTTTGTAATATCTATCAAACTATAGATCCTACACATCCACTGGACCTGGATTCTAAAAGTACAATATACACTTAATCAAAAAGCATTTAAATGGCCAAACTATTCTACAATTTAGGATTTTCCAGAGTGGGTTATTTGTGAATATACGACCCTCCGGAGCATTTGCAATTGCCACAAATTGTTGTTTCTTACACGACCACTAGAGGTGTTAAACTTTAAAACGTGACTATAGGTTGTAATAAGCTGCTGAATAATCAAACTATTTGGTCGTTTTTTTTTTAGGCTGGTGTTTGTATGTGTGTGTCAAGGTTCAAGGATAAATTCTTGTTTTTCTTCGGAACATGGTAGAACAAAAAAATGCCATTGCATTCGAGTCCATTTATGTTACAAAAGAAAAACAGTAGTGCGTTCCTGCAGCACATTTTTTGACTGCAGCAACAAAACAATGGTGAGTTCTCCGGCTAACATTGTGTCATAAAAAAAAGACTTCATGGAAATATGTTTCATCTACTCTGGCGTCTGAGCAACGGGCATCACTCAATGATTATCGTGCACCCCCCCTTCCCTTTCTACTGCGCTCTGTCCTGGGGGGTTCTTCGCACTTGATGGAGTGTGGTTTGCAGGTGTGACTGTATGGACGAAAAGATGGTGTGTTTGGTGTTCATCTCAAGGTCTGCTGCAGTGAAAAAACTGAAAGGTTGACTTGAATGAATTGTATTATGTCAACAGATTTCACATTACTGTATTTGGTTAGTTTGGTTAAGCAATAATATTAAGTTGAGCCTTACATTTTTTATTTAAACGTATTGCTTTCAACTAACCTAATACAGTTATGTGAAATCTGTTGACATGATACATTTAATTAAAGTCAGTGTTTTCGTTTTCTCAGTGTGCCCTATTATTTTTTTGTAATAAAGACATGCAGCAAACTTCATGCAAGATATGGCACTTGCACTGAGGTTGTCAAACAGTTTAACATGACTTCTTACAATAACAGGTAGTTTGTAACATCCACACCTGCCTGTACCTAAAACATTCTAAATCAAAAATATTTTTTAAATGATAACCTGTAATTGTAGGTAGATGTGCAGCACACAAAATCAAACTGTCCTTGCTCTGCAAATACAAGGCATTGACATATTTCAATCACTGAACCTTTATAAATTATTTCATTTTCTGCAGTGATTTGGAAAAACTGTACATTTTTTATTTCAAAATAAGGTACGCCAAAAACGTGCAGCTTTCCCTGAAAGCTCAAAGGAATCAATCAAATGTTCCTGTTGTAGCTGATTGAAGTGCTATGGATAAAAAACAGGTAAAACATCATTAATCAGATTCCTGCGATTTGAATGACTAAATATTTCAGCTAGTCACATTTTTCACCCTGCAAACTGTGTGCAACATCGCTTACAAATTGTTGTCAGCGTCGACCAGCTTGTTAAATCCTGCTATCCTTTTGTGTCAAAGTAATTGGTGCCTAACTAGATAGAAATGACCAATTTCTCCTCCAACCTTTAAAACTGTTTCCCTCACAACACAGGTGCTTAGCAACAAGAGTACTCTGACAATGAAAGCAGTAAAGCAGGAGGATGCTGGGAAGTATGTGTGTCGGGCCGTGGTCCCCAGAGTGAACGCCGGGGAGAAGGAGGTGACGCTCACTGTGAATGGTAAGTACAATGGCCGTCATGCACTGAATGTCAATGGCACTTTGTCCTCTTTGGGGGGGGGGGAATCAGGTTTGAGGAGCAGGATTCTGGCCACTGTTATTATATTGAGATGATGGGAATCTAAATATTTGTGTAGGGTTGATTAAAATCTCAAACTTTACGTACAATTTTAATATTTGTTTTCTATGTTTTTGTATTACAATATCAACATTAAAATGTAAATCTTAATTTATCCCAGGGGAAATGTTTTGTGACATTTTAGAATGAATGAAATAATATCTAAACAATTAATTTAAATAATGTCATTTTGCATACAAATAACAGAAGTTTAAGTATTATTAAAATAAGGATATAAATATAAAATAACATCTTGTACAGTATATATTGTAGGTATGAAACTGTCCTTGCTCTGTTAATACAAATAATTTCAATCACTGAACATTAACAAATCTTCCATTCACTGCTGTGCTTTGGAAAACAGTCACAATGTTTTATTTCATAATACATATGGCTTAGCTTTCCCTAAAAGCTCAAAAGAATAAATAGAATGTATATATAAAATGTTCACATGAATCCATGTTGAGTTTGCTTTCACACGAGTGGCGGGATTCCGTCTCCACTTTGGAAGCTTTCACATGTGCCTGTGCTGTTCCGAACAGCCAGTACCTGGTAATGGGGCGCAATTTTGAGCAGAAAAAATAACACTACATTTGACAAAGCCATGCTGAGAATTAAAAGCAACCGTCCCTGAACCAAAATGGATGTATCAACATTTCCTTTCAAAGAATGAAAATTACCCAGAGATGATTGTGGACAGAGGAGACCCCCCCCCTCAGCGCAGCCGTCACTGAGAGTTATTAAGGCTGCCTGTCATTGATTTCTAATGGCCACATTTCACACCTTTATCTCCACTTTGTGACTGATGGCCGCAGTACAATGAAAAAGGATTCCAACCTTTTTGAACGATTCAGTAGCTAGAAAACAAACGGTATTCTGACAATACAGTTTAATAGAGAGATGTTTTAAGGTCAGCCAGTCGAAAGAAGCAAACACATTGACATGCTGCAAGTTGTTCAACTTTACAACTAAGACGTTGTGAAGTCTTGGAATATTTTCACAGTGGCAGATCAGAGTGAAGGGAAACATGTTTTTCAGACTGAAGAATGAACTTGAGGTAACCTTTGTCAAGTCTTTACCGACTTTCAGAAAATAAGCTGTTTGTTACAGGACAGTGTATCATGCCGGTAAAAAGTAAACTATTCTCACATCCAAAAGCACAACGATGATTAATTATCTCTGTGGATATGGTGGTAAGCAGTGGTGTAGTGGGCGTTGGACGCGGGGGTACGCCGTACCCCCACTTATTTGGAGCATGATCTTTTTTTTAATAGTCTAATAAATATAAAATCATTGCCAGTCTTATCAGTTGTAAGTGTGTATTTGTTGTAATAATGACAAAAACATAATACATTTCACAGTAATTATAATAAAAAATAAAAACGATTTCCTTAAAAAATGATGATTCGTCACATCACGCTCGTGACCCCGCAGCGAGCTGGGGGTGTGTCAGTGACACACCCATATGAGGGGCCGTACAGGCCGTAATTCATACTGGTCCTCTCACGCACATACATTCTCCTTTTACATACATATATTTTCACTCTTAAATACATACATTCTCCTTTTACATACATATATTTTCACTCTTACATACATACATTCTCCTTTTACATACATATATTTTATAATATATGCATGTCTGAAGAGAATATATGTATGCAAGAGAAGAATGTATGTATGTGTGAAGACAATATATGTATGTGAGAGAAGAATGTATGTATGTGTGAGAGAAAGTATAGTGGAAACGGAAGGAGTATGGTTGAAACGGAAGGCAGGTCATTCTTGCGCTGTGATTGGCTCAGAAGGTCGAGCGGGGCGGGCTCATGTTCAGAACTTCTGATTCAAATCAACATAAATAAATATAATAAGCATGTGTCTAAAATGGACAACATTGTTAGGAGATTTAAACTATACAGTGATTCTGCACTGCGGTCACTCAGCCGTCTCTCGCGTTTGTCTTTTCAAATCAGCTGCTCTTCATATTTTACAAATATTTTTTACTGAAAGTTCTTAATAAAACTGACACTGTTGGACTCGAGGGGAGAAGAATAAATGGACAACATTGTTAGGAGATTTAAACTATACAGAGAGCCGTTTTTTCAAATCAGTAGCTCTTCATTTTCTTTTTACAAATATATTTTACCACAAGTTCTTCATAAAACTGACACTGTTGGACTCGGTACTAGTTTGACTGCTACTAACAATACATTGAAGTACTTTTACTGTGTACTTTGTGAGAAATACTCTGTCAAAGTCCCCTCCATATAGCACATAATCTAATGCATCAGTCCGTCCCAGGCGGGAGTTTATAAACCAAAGAGTAACCGCCCTTACGGCACACTCTGATAAGTAAAGCGAACGCACCCGCAAGGACACCTGGCCAGGGATGTGACAGTTTCAGGGGTTGACAAAATGTTCCTTAAAACCCCTAATGCTTGCTGCAATCTACGCGATTCATCTCCCTCCATCATGTTATGTTGATTTGAAATCAGAAGTTCTGAACATGAGCCCGCCCCGCTCGACCTTCTGAGCCAATCACAGCGCAAGAATGACCTGCCTTCCGTTTCAACCATACTCCTTCCGTTTCCACTATACTTTCTCTCTCACATACATACATTCTTCTCTCACATACATATATTGTCTTCACACATACATTAGTGCTGGGGGGAAACGATTATTTTTGAAAACGATTAATCGGGCGATTATTTGATCGATTAGTCGACTAATCTAACGATTATTTTTCTGTTGTTCAATTCATAAAAAACGTAATGTAAAAAAATAAATGTTCACGATACTGTGTCTCAGGGGATCTTAATATTTAAGAACCTATTAATGTGTTATACCAGATTAACGGAAATAATCTCAGCTAACTGCCGATACAAACCATGTTTACCAAAACAAAACACAAGTCTCATAAGAAGCATCTAAATGACCCCTGAGCGAAAAATGCTAACGGACATTGGCACAGAACTCAAGATAAAAGTACCCTTATTACTTATCGTAGCTGCACATACAATATATCCGATTAAAGCTGAGACTCCACAGATTATGTAGGTATATAGTATCATCACTGAGTGATCCGGACTCGCGACAGGGGAAGCAAATACAGTCATCACAACACGTACCTTCACAGAGCTTCTAGGGAGATCGTCTCACCACCGTAGCTGTCAATCTGATCAAAAGACGTGTTCAATGGCATTACAATGAGAAAAAACGCGGCTGAATCGGTTAATCCATAGGTTTTTAACGTCTATGTATAAAAAAATGATTGAATTTATAATCCATAATTCCATTTAATGTAAAAATCGGAGAGCAAATGCTAGCTGCTAATGGTAGCCACCACAGCTAGCTGCTGCTTCTGCTAGGCTATGCAGCAGTCTTAGTGAGATATAAATATATAAATATCTTTGCGTTTTGGACTAACTTTAAAATATTCCCATGCTTTTGAAGACCTAGGGCGAGATGTTTTCGTTTGGGGGCTTCGTGCGCAATCCTGTGAGGAGGAGGTGGTAGCCGTTTCAGTCTCCATTGTGTTTGAAGTGCGATTGCGAACTGCTTGTTGCTTTGGGTGACCCACGTGTGTGTAGCGACGCGTCGACGCGGAAATATGTCGTCGACGATATTTTGAAGTCGACGCGTCGCTACAGCACTAACATACATACATTCTTCACTTGCATACATATATTCTCTTCAGACATGCATATTATAAAATATATGTATGTAAAAGGAGAATGTATGTATTTAAGAGTGAAAATATATGTATGTAAAAGGAGAATGTATGTATGTAAGAGTGAAAATATATGTATGTAAAATGAGAATGTATGTATGTAAGAGTGAAAATATATGTATGTAAAAGGAGAATGTATGTATGTAAGAGTGAAAATATATGTATGTAAAAGAAGAATGTATGTGCGTGAGAGGACCAGTATGAATTATGGCCTGTACGGCCCCTCATACACCCACGGCCAGCTCGCCGCCCGCCGGTTTTGCGGCAGCTCTTTCCCTCAAGAACGCTAACGAAAAAGCTCTATAATGGCAGGCAAACATTTTTTTCTTGACTTATTGTTACGGTGTGCAGGAAGCAGGACCCAAATGCAGATTTCAGTGACAAAATAATTCCTTTATTTCAAGGCTACAATATCAGAGACAGAACAGTTTACTCACAACACAAGACAACCCGACAAAGAGAGACAGAAAACCCAGAACTTAAATACACCCAGGACTAATCACATAAACACGAGACAGGTGAGGAGGGAGGAGAAAACACAGAGGCACCAGGTGAACACAATCGGGTAATCAGGGAGGGAAACAGACAGAAAGCAAACAGGCAGGAAACGGGGGTGAACACCTTACAAAATAAAACAGGAAACCCAAAGATAGAAAAAGACAAGAAAAACACCAACACAGACAGATCCTAACAGTACCCCCAAAGACGGTGGGACCTCCAACGAGACAGGACAAGGAGCTGGCAGGAGAGTAGACGGCGGGACCTCCAACGAGACAGGACAAAGGGTTGGCAGGACCCCCGGCAGGAGAGTAGTTGGTGGGACCTCCAACGAGACAGGACAAGGAGCTGGCAGGACCCCCGGCAGAAGAGTAGACGGCGGGACCTCCAAGGGGACAGGACAAAGGGTTGGCAGGACCCCCGGCAGGAGAGTAGTCGGCGGGGCTTCCAACGGCACAGGACAAAGGGTTGGCAGGACCCCCGGCAGGAGAGTAGTCGGCGGGACCTCCAACGAGACAGGACAAGGAGCTGGCAGGACCCTCGGCAGGAGAGTAGACGGCGGGACCTCCAACGAGACAGGACAAGGAGCTGGCAGGACCCCCGGCAGGAGAGTAGACGGCGGGACCTCCAACGAGACAGGACAAAGGGTTGGCAGGACCCCCGGCAGGAGAGTAGTCGGCGGGGCCTCCAACAGCACAGGACAAAGGCTTGGCAGGACCCCCGGCAGGAGAGTAGTCGGTGGGACCTCCAACGAGACAGGACAAGGAGCTGGCAGGACCCCCGGCAGGAGAGTAGACGGCGGGACCTCCAAGGGGACAGGACAAAGGGTTGGCAGGACCCCCGGCAGGAGAGTAGTCGGCGGGGCTTCCAACGGCACAGGACAAAGTGTTGGCAGGACCCCCGGCAGGAGAGAAGACGGCGGGCCCTCCAACAGGACAGGACAAAGGGTTGGCAGGACCCCCGGCAGGACCTCCAACGGGACAGGACAAAGGGTTGGCAGGACCCCCGGCAGGAGAGTAGACGGCGGGACCTCCAACGGGACAGACATACGATTGGTAGGACCCCCGGCAGAGGAGTAGTAGACGGGACCTCCAATGGGACAGGACATGGAGTTGGCAGGACCCCCAGCGGAACCTCCAACGGACCAGGACATTGGGTAGGGACTTGAGACGTGACTCGAGAGGGGAACTAGAGAGGGGACTAGAGAAGGGAACTCGAGAGGGGACTAAAGGAGGGACTAGAGGAGGGAACTGGAGAGGGGACTCAAGAGGGAACTGGAGAAGTGACCTGAGGAGGGACTAGGGAAAGGACTAGAGAAGGGAACTCGAGAGGGGACTCGAGAGGGGGACTCGAGGAGGGACTAGAGGAGGGACTAGAGGAGAGGACTGGAGAGGGGACTCGAGAGGAAACTTGAGATGGGACTGGGGCCAGAGCTGGGGCCAGAGCTGGGGCCAGAGCTGGGGCCAGAGCTGGGGCCAGAGCTGGGGCCAGAGCTGGGGCCAGAGCTGGGGCCAGAGCTGGGGCCAGAGCTGGGGCCAGAGCTGGGGCCAGAGCTGGGTCTGGAACCATAGCTACGGGGGCCGGAATTGAAGCCAGAATCATGGCTGTAAGGTCCGGTTCTGGAGCCGGAAACATGGATGTAAGGTCCGGCTCTGGAGCCGGAAATATGGCTGTAAGGTCCGATTCTGGAGCCGAATCCATGGCTGCCGGGACCGGTTCTGGAGCAAGGACCATGGCTGCTGGGGACAGAACTGGGTCTGTAACCATGGCTGCTGGAGGCTGAACTGGTTCTGGAACCATGGCCCCTTGGGCTCGTGCTGCCAACCTGGCCTTGCGACTCCTTCCTTTAGGAGCCGTTTGGAGGCTCCGTAGACCTCCAAAGGCCAGATGAGTACCAGCGAATGGCTCCTGGACTGTAGCAAACACTGGGTGAGAAGCAGGGGCTGACGCCAGACGGGTCACACCGATGCGTGTGGTATCAAAACGGGAGTTGGGAGGCCTGGGGCTGTCAGGCAGGGGATAACACACCGTGAGAAAGTCCAAAATCCTGCCCGATAAGAATTTAACCAAGCCTGGCTTCTCCATAGTAATCCGGCGTGCCTCTGCCAGAACAGCCTCTCGCTGCTGAACCCTGGACGCTCCCAACCATCGATACGAGCAGTCATCCAAAGCAAAGGAAAACTCCAATAGCTCCTGCTCAAAAGGATCTGCTGGGCCCATATCTTGGTCGGGTTGTAATGTTACGGTGTGCAGGAAGCAGGACCCAAATGCAGATTTCAGTGACAAAATAATTCCTTTATTTCAAGGCTACAATATCAGAGACAGAACAGAACACTCACCGCAGTTTACTCACAACACAAGACAACCCGACAATGAGAGACAGAAAACCCAGAACTTAAATACACCCAGGACTAATCACATAAACACGAGACAGGTGAGGAGGGAGGAGAAAACACAGAGGCACCAGGTGAACACAATCGGGTAATCAGGGAGGGAAACAGACAGAAAGCAAACAGGCAGGAAACGGGGGTGAAAACTTTACAAAATAAAACAGGAAACCCAAAGATAGAAAAAGACAAGAAAAACACCAACACAGACAGATCCTAACACTTATTTTCTAAAAAGAATATAATTCACAAGAAGAAAGAGGCTAGCAGCACCGAAGCTACAAGTGAAGCTGCTACTATCACTACATCACCAGAAGAGCCGCCTAAAGACGTGGATAATGCTAGCACTAGTCAACGTTAGCTATGCTAGCAACGTTCCCCTGGCTAGCTCAAGCTCACCTTTCCCAGAGGTATGGACGGAGGAGATGTGGCGGAGGAAACAAGAGGCTACCCGTGGATAGACTGCAAAGCTGGGAAACTGGGCTGCAAAGTTTGTTCATCCATTTCGGATTTATCAGTCTTCAAAACGCAAGGTGTGTGTGTGTGTGTGTGTGTGTGTGACATTATATATTGACCTCACTAGATTTTTAAATACCTAAATATATTCTAAATGTGTGTGTGAGACTGAGTGTTCATGCGTGTATACGTGTGTGTGTGTGTGTGTGTGTGTGTGTGTGTGTGTGTGTGTGTGTGTGTGTGTGTGTGTGTGTGTGTGTGTGTGTGTGTGTGTGTGTGTGTGTGTGTGTGTGTGTGTGTGTGTGTGTGTGTGAAGCAGCGCTGTCAGCTTATTTGCAATATAGGCCTAATCAGAATAATTTCAAGTCCAGATTCAATGTTGTTTGCATAAGTAGGCTATATTTTTGGTTTCGTTTATTTAATAAGTTAATTTCAGGAGAACTTTGGGAATTTTGTTTGTTTGTTATGCATTTTAAATAGATTTTGAAAGTGGAGATAGAGAGAGAAGCAGCGCTGTCTGCTTAGTTGCAATACTGTAGTTTATGCAATTTAGGCCTATAAATTGTTTATGTAATTTATGTGCCTGTGTGTCCATGGTTTTGAGTCTGCGTATGTGTTGAGCGCAGCGACGTCTGCTTTTTGCAGTACAGTAACTAAAGTAGGACTAAGCATACCGGTAGTTTCTGTGGACCTGTCTGCCCGTTTTGTGAATGCACTGCGCGCGTGCGCACTTGTGTGGCATTGTTTGGGATGACCTGATTAAAATAGCATCCCCCCAGTAAAAAAATCCCCACTACACCACTGGTGGTAAGAGATGATCACAACGTGTCATTTATGAGAATGTCCCCCTCGACTTACCTCCACCTCTCCTGCTCCATGACTCAAGTTAATGATTATGTGATTTCTTGTCAAGTGTAAAGCAATGACAGAGCGGCAGTCATTGTCGATGAAAATGTTAGATCTCAGGCTCCTTAAACAATGCTCATTAAATATGCTATCTATCACTGATTTTCTTTCTGTAAACAACAAGAAGCCATGCCCTGAGGGCTGTCTGAGGAGAGCATTTGAAAAGAGAAGAAGAATGTTCTATGGTCAGAGTGTCCTCAGTGTCAGGGCTGTCACTCAGTGTTCAGAGCGTCAGACCCTCCTCTGATCCAGGGGAGGTTACTCTCTGTCTGACAGCCAGTCCAAAAACATGGACGAGTAATAGCTCTAAAGCCTCCTAACTGATCAGATTAATGCAGCACAGTGTGACCCTAACCCTTTTTTATTTCGTTTTTTTATGCACAACATACAGTATAATGTTTCTTTGTTTTGTTACAGTACACTGAAAAAACTGAAACACTGACTTTAATTAAATGTATCATGTCAACACATGTTACATAACTGTATTAGGTTAGACGAAAACAATAATATTAAGACATTTTATTTCAACTAACCTGATACAGTTCTGTTGACATTATTCATTTAATTAAAGTCAATGTTTCAGGAGGTAATGTTCAAAACTAATGTCACTATGGTAACTGATGAGTATGTGTGCTGGTGCTAAAACAACCTTTGTTTCCGTATTACATTCCTTATCTTGGAATGATTAGAATCTGTCAGAGGAGAGCACGTATGTGTGTGTTTGTTACTAATGTAAGTGAATTAAGCAATCATACACGAGAGGCCGTTCTTTAACGTCATTATTGGTACGACAGTACTGCGGCAGGACCGAGGCGCTTGCGCCGAGGTCCGTACGCCTGTACTGGAGAAAAGCAAACTGCAAGCAGTTTGCTTTTCAGGCCAAGGGTATACCGTTTTTCTCAGACGCGGAGGGATACTGACTTGTTGTGAAAAGGCACGTTCTATTTGACCGTTCTTTGATCGTGGAATCAAACACGCCTATTGACCAATCAGAGAGCTTGCTCACACCTATGTGTTATAGAATATATAAATAACATCCATTAATCTATACTGCTGATTTAAATTTAAAAAGTAAATGTGAGAGTTACAAAGTAGAGGAAACTGAGAATTTCAAAGACGTTGATTGACGCGAAGACGTTTGGCTCAGGTCCATGTTGTGATGATGGAGTCTCTGTCCCTCCACAGGTCCTCCCACCATCTCCAGCACCCAGACTCAGCAGGTGCTCTACGGAGAGAAGGGTCAGATCAAGTGCTTCATCCGCAGCACCCCTCCTCCCGACCGCATCGTGAGTCATGTGATTCCTCATTCCATTTACTCATTAATTTCCATGTTAGAGACATTCGGTCAGTGGGGGATGCATCTCATTAGGCTGAAACACTAATGGAGCATTTCCAATGCAGCGCGTAGCACGGTTTAAGCGTGCCGTGCCAAACCCGGCCCGTTTTTTGTTGCGTTTCCACTAGGGGTAGTTCCGGCTAACGGGTACCTTTTCACAGTTTTTCTGGCCCTCCAAAATCGTGGTTCTTTCCAGGCCAACAACCGGGCTGAATATGCTAAACTAGTGACGTGAGTGGCTACAACTACAACAAGATGAACATATTTGACCGTGATTTAATTGTAATACACGTTTCAAAATGATGCCGAAGTAACAACATACTGATACCGGTTAGTAACAACCATGAATTAATGCTTTGACAAGTCCATCCACACACTCAACAATGGCCTACAGACATAAATAAATCAGCGACTGTATTCGCCATGACACAGACAGTCTGTGGTTTGAACTTGTTTAACTGTTGTCTAGTTTCTGAACAGATATGAGGAGCTGTGAGCTCTGAGTGCTAACAGCTAAAGGCGGATGTTTGGTTTTGTGTGTCACAATGAAGATGACGTCACAGCTCCGCCTACACTGCGTTACTATAGTTACTGCCCCAGCTACTAAACTGTAATGGAAACGCAGCATAAAGTGAGCTTGGCCTACCAAGGCCTAACTATACCGTACTAAGCCGTGCGAGGCCCTGCAGTGGAAATGCGCCATAAGGCACTGAAACAGAGCCAGAGGCCACATTCACAGACACATATACAATATACATACTTTATTTATGGTTGAATTGAACTTTTTCATGAAAAAAAACAGTACATTACTATTAAGTTATTCACAACCCTAACCCTAAGTACGAGAAAATATTAGATAATTCTTGACGCCCACAATGGTGAGTAATATGAATTCTCTCAAGTAGGATCATCAGGAAACCATGCCAACAATAGCATGTTGTAAAGAAAATAAACGGAAAATAGACTTTTCTTTTTTATGTTTGCACGTGTGTGTGTTTGTGCGTGAATTAGCATCTGGTTTCAGTTTAGTCCCTCTAACACGTGTGCTGTGCCTCAGGCCTGGTCCTGGAAGGAGACGGTCTTAGAGTCGGGGACGTCTGGACGCTACACCGTGGAGACAGTCAGTACTGATGAGGGAGTGATCTCCACTCTGACCATGAGCAACATCGTCCCCGCTGACTTCCAGACCATCTACAACTGCACCGCCTGGAACAGCTTCGGCTCCGACACAGAGATCATCCGACTGAAAGAACAAGGTGAGGACCACACAACCCAGTCTCACGGCATTTCGTGTTATAGTCACGACATTTAATCTATTGATTCGTGTTCACCAACACGATTTTCCCCTTTTTTTCGTGTCACACAGAACGATTTTAAAAGCAATGTATTTCTATTGGTAGTATGTTTCGTGCCTGCAGCACATCTTTTTGTCCGGTCGGGTCTTGGAAGACCGGAAGCTGTGGAGTTCATAAAAACATGTTCTTACACAATATCAAGCCACAATTATTGTTTTTATTTTAAATCGTATAATGTCGAATTTTTTTTGCCGTCCGTGAGGAAAATAAATGGGACTCAGAGCCTCAGAATACTGAAATCTGTATTTTTTGAAATATTTTTTTCCTTCTAATTTGTTATTGTTTTCTAAATAACACACTGTTATTTACTCAACAATAACACACAATTATCCTTGTTCTTATTTATTTGTTTAATTCTAGAATATCGGGCTTTTTTGCCGTCCGTCAGGAACTGAATTTCAAAATAAAGTCACCGGAAACAGACGTAGGCAGTACACACCCACTGAACTGATTACGCAAGATCCACAGCTATGATTGAAGCTCGGTGATTGGATGTTTTAGCCGCAATGCACGTTGGGATATGGTGTTTATGCGATATGGTGTTTATGCGATATGAAATAACTATCAACAGAATTGCGTTGCCAGGCAACAGCTTGGGGTGAAAACAGTATTTCCGGTCTCTAAGTTTGCATAGTAATCTGCAGTACTCATCAACTAAAAACATCAGTAAAAACAGCAAAAAGGCCACTAATTATTTTAACGTGCGATTAACTAATGTGTATTTGTCCTCAGCCCGCCCCGTAGTTTCAGAGCCCAAAGGCTTGACGTTGTTGTTAGTTATTTGGATGGTGGGAGATTCTAGCGAGAGATATGGATACAATAAAAGGTGTTTTAAACAGCAAGTCAAGCACACAGCTGATGCTGACAGCCCCGCTCCTGCCGCTCGCTTGCGGCAGACCACGCTTGAAAGTTTGCCGGGGAGACGCCTGGACACTTCTACGAGCAGCAAGCTTTCAACAGCGATAGTTAAATGAGTGGCTACAGCTTAACATTGTGGAGGACGAGGGGCTGCGTTAGATAATTCAGATTTTATACTGTATATAACCTATGTATTGTTAAATCATGCCCTAACACAAGTGTTCTTAATGCACAAGAGAAACAAGGTGTTCAGACAAACAAACTAACATATAGTATAAAACAGCAGAAATGAAATACTCATGATACCTAGAATTATGTTTAAGTACAGTCAAAGTAGGGCTGGGCGATATGGCCAAAAAAAGAAATCCCCGAATTTTTCACAAAAAATCCGATTTACGATTTAAATCGATGTTCTCTCCCCCCCCCCCCCCCAATTCATATGCAGATGACAAAGTAATTGTTCCAATTTTAACCAATGACATATCACTGGAAAGACCAGGATGTCTTCTGTACAGCACATCAGGGATTGATAGAGTAGCTCAAAAGAGTAAAAGGAGATGCATGTTAACAAAATGTCCACTACAGTGGACATTTTCAATGGGCTGGGTCCCAGGAGGATATATTGGCACCATATCCTTTGCTATATACATACCGACCGCATCTGTAATGGCTTTCCAGCGGGCCGAATTCTTGTCATATGGGATTAGTGCTGCGTACCTGGACAGGACTCACATTCAGGTTCAGGTCCGGACTCAAGTCCAGAGGTTCAGGTTCAGGTCCGGACTTATAAGTCCGGACCTGAACCCATGGCTTTTGTCAAGTTGTGTGAGTAACTAAAATGAACTTATTGTGAGCTAATTATCAATTAAAAATGAACTCATAATTAACTCAAATTCAAACTCATCAGGTTTATTGTGCTCCCTTCCAACTTGTGTCTACATTTCTCTACAAAGTACAAATGTAAAAAAAAAACGTTTTGCCACAGTCTACAAATGACTTATGACAGCAACTACAGTGAACTACTACAAAGTTCAAACATTTATTTCATTTACCAAACTAAAGTAACCAAACAGTCCCTGAGCTGACTGAGCCTAAATCACTAAAACGTTGCTGAAAGGTAGAGTGTAGAGTAGACTATACGCATTACACTGTTACACACCTACTATACAGTATAGGCTACACTGTAGTGACTGACTGTACAGTCAGAGTGTACTGTACTGTCTGTACACCATGTATTTTCTACAACTCTACATGTGTACATTATACAGTGTATACTACATACATAGTGATGTACATACATACTTTTAGAAATTAAAATCAATGTTGATATGGCGTAATTTTGAATTAAATACACTATTTAATTTAAATCAGTTTTATTCTGAAAAAAACCGGAAGTTGACACTATTAACTTAATACTTTTATTCTGAAAAATATTCACTTCCGGTTAGCATTAGCATGTGGTGAAATGCTACGTTTTCAAACCGTGAATCGAAGGTGAAATGACATGTGATGTTGTACACTGAGCACACTGGGATTAGCACTCATTTATTGACGCTGAATAACGTTTATCAGGGAATGTTTAAATAACCACAGACACCAGAATATACGTAAGTGCTAGTTTTTTTTGCGAGTCCAAGTACGGGTTCGCGACGTTCCGGTTTTAACCGGACTTGAACCGAAACTTTTTACAAGTCCAGTACCGGTTCGGCGTACCGGTACGCAGCACTATATGGGATGCAGTTTGAAAATGTCTGTGTTACGGTAGACTGTATTTTGGCGGCTGTGCGTGAGGTGCTTGTAGTGCCGCGGTCTTTTTCATTCCGCTGCACGGAACATTTCTCCCATTCAGCAGGATGCTTTTGTTTTAGGTGCTGCAGTACATTTGTCGTACTGCTGCCTTTGCTAGCAACAGACTTCAAACATACTTTGCAGCGGGGTGTTGTCTGGTCTAAATCTGACCTCGCGAACGCAAACCAATTCCAAATAACGGATGACACCGTGCCTTTCTTTGGAACAAGTTCTTACCTGCTCGTTGTCATGTTGTTTGTGTAATGTGTATCACTCTATTTGGTAAATGCGCGCACTGTGCGGGGGGAGGGCTGAGGCGAACTACGGGAGCCCAGAGGGAAAAGTTGGCGGATGTTGAAGAGAAAACCGATTTTCATTATAACAAGTCGACGTGAACTACACACTCGAGTTAATCGATAAAATCGATTTATCGCCCAGCCCTAAGTCAAAGTATTAGTTATAATTAAGTACACAAATGACATCACCCAGCTCTCAGAGAGCTACAGGTGACCTGTGCAGCAACACATTTCAATACATATTTCTCAATATAAGAGCCGCTAGACTGAGCTGCTGTGATGGAACATGTGAGGAGAATAAGAACATCCCATGTAGTCAAGCTGGAGTCTCCTCTGCCTCCTGGTACCTGCCTCTGGCCCTCTTTCTGATACTTCCTCTTCCTCACATACATGTCTTCTTCTTCACTAATGTCTTCATCTCCTCCTCTGAGCCTCCTGGTCTCTTCATCTCCTCCTCTTCCTTCTGCTCTGAGCCTCCTGGTCTCTTCATCTCCTCCTGCTCTGACCCTCCTGGTCTCTTCATCTCCTCCTCTTCCTCCTGCTCTGAGCCTCCTGGTCTCTTCATCTCCTCCTCTTCCTCCTGCTCTCACCCTCCTGGTCTCTTCATCTCCTCCTCTTCCTCCTGCTCTGACCCTCCTGGTCTCTTCATCTCCTCCTCTTCCTCCTGCTCTGACCCTCCTGGTCTCTTCATCTCCTCCTCTTCTTCCTGCTCTGAGCCTCCTGATCTCTTCATCTCCTCCTCTTCCTCCTGCTCTGACCCTCCTGGTCTCTTCATCTCCTCCTCCTCTTCCTCCTGCTCTGATTCTCCTGGTCTCTTCATCTCCTCCTCTTCCTCCTGCTCTGACTCTCCTGGTCTCTTCATCTCCTCCTCCTCTTCCTCCTGGTCTCTTCATCTCCTCCTCCTCTTCCTCATGCTCTCACCCTCCTGGTCTCTTCATCTCCTCCTCCTCTTCCTCCTGCTCTGACCCTCCTGGTCTCTTCATCTCCTCCTCCTCTTCCTCCTGCTCTGACCCTCCTGGTCTCTTCATCTCTCTTTTCCTTTTCCTCTTTCTGTTCTTCCTGGTCTCTTCTCAGATATGTCTTTGTATTGTTGTTGAATCACTCCAGCTACTCTGGCCTGCAAGAGTCTACTTGTGAAAAGCTCTGGAACAAATGCTTGTCTAACTTTACACGTTAGGGCCATGTAGCTGATAAGTAGCATATCATAAATATAACATCAGAAAGTATTGATCAAACGCACAGGCAGCTAGATCCAGTTTGACGGTAAAGGATGTATCCTGGTTTCATTGATCTTTTTCATTGCTGTGATGTGTAGTTTACGTGGATTTAATAGTACTGCATAGTTTAGCAAAGTGATCGATCTCCCAGCTAGCTAGTGCTGTCTGCGTAGTATTTTGTAACGTAACGTCCCAAACAGCGACCGTCTGTTAAACGCTATCGATTCAAACAGCAGCGTTTTATTAATATTTTGTTTCAAGCTCTCGTCTTTAGTAAAAACAAAACTAGTGGAAGGGGAAATGCTCCCAGGGGAAGCTGATCCACCTTCAGGTGCTGGGACAGCTCGCTCCCTCTCTGCAGAGGTGTGAGCCGCAGTCTGTGTGAACGCCGCTCCGCAGTTTAATGCAGGGCCGTAGCTGCGTGTACAATGGTGCACAGAAAGCTTTAAAAAGTGATACCTTGACATCTACAGAGCATGATAATTTCCGCATGAATATGTTTGCCTGGGCATACAGTTTGCAGCGTTGTCTATGGATGTCTTTGTCATCTGTGAGATCATCAGAAATATAATGACCAAGGTACTTAATCTCACTGCACACAAGAAGAATGTTGCTACTGAGAATACAATTAGGAAATATAGCCTTTGTATCCTCTTTACTTCGCACAATCATGATGCTACTCTTCTTGTCGTTATACTTAATATTAAAATCAATGCCATACTGGGAACAAGTCCTCAGAAGC